TTCCTTTTCACCATGTCTTTGTCGTGTTTTTGTGTGAACCAACATTTTGAAGGTATCCTGACGCTTCTTCACCTTCCTTAGAAATCCTTCCGATTCTTTGATTTACCAGCGGGTTGAGTCCGGATTGAAATTTCTGACCCGTTTGCAAAATAGGTTCAGGTCGGGTCAAATAGCTGCGGGTCAATATCAGGTTCAACCCAAACTTGATTTTCCCACCCCAAACCTGCCCCCCCCCCCCCCCCCCCCCGCCAAAATAAAAACTTGCTGGCTCTGCCACTTCCTCCTGCCATAAAAATACTCCCTCTCTAAAAACACACCTTGTTCTCAAGGTAGAAGGATGAGAAATGCCTCCTGATCCTCTTGTTTGGCTCCCATGCAGTTTTATTTTTCAGCCCGGGCTTGTACTGGATCTCGAAGTCATAACCTAGTAATTTGGAAAGCCACCGCTGATGCTATATCATTTGTTCTAGCAGAAACTTCAAACTCCTCTAGTCGGTTCTGACTATGAAGTGTCGCCCCAACAGGTAAGGACGCCACTTATGTATTGCCAACACTATTGCCATCATCTCCCTTTCATACACCGACTTCAGCCTGGCCCTAACAGTTAAAACCTGGCTAAAATAAATTATGGGTCTCTGACTCTGCGTGAGGACTGCCCCCAACCCATAGCCTGATGCATCAGTCTCCACTACAAACGCCTAATTGAAATATGGTAGCTCTAACACAAGGACATTTGAATGGCTTTCTTTAGCTGCTCAAACACCTGGGTGGTTTTTGGGACTATCATTCTTCAATTGTTCTATATATGACCATGCTATAGAGCTGTATCCCTTCTCAAACTTCATGTAGTATCCTATGAGTCCCAAAAACTCCCTCAACTCCTTCAGGGTTTTAGGCAATGGCCATTCCAACATCTCTTTAATTAGCCTTTCAATTTCATCTTTATGAACTTATGAGTACTGGTAAGGTCGAACACTGATAGTGGATACCCCATTTTTAGGTTGATGCCATACTCATGCTCCGTTGGGGGAGATAGGCCTTAAGGTAATGGGAACACCTTACTGAATTGTTGCAGGAGTGGCTGGTCTATCTCTGGAACTTCCTCTTTCTACAACTCCATCAAGTAGCCTAGCCCTTCTCCCTGTATCGCTTTGACCATAATTTTGAGTGAAACCATGGTTCTGCATAGACTTGCATCTCCTTGCAACACCACCTTCCCCTCCACTTGAATCTCCATCATCAAAGTTTTCCAATCCACATTTATTTCCCCTATCATCTGTAACCACTTCATCCCTAAGGTCCCATCAACGCTTTCCAAATTCAAGGGAAGAAAATCTTCCATATTATGTAGGTCCTAGAGTATTAGCACCAACCTCTTGCAAATCCCCCTACTCCTATCCACCTTTCTTGTTCCTATCATGACTCCAAAGCTCCTTGTATCCACCAACTTCAATCCCAATTGGTTTAGAACCCAATTTGAGATGAAGTTATGAGTAGCCCCGCTATCCACCAAGACCACCACTGGCTGCTGCTTGATCTGCCTCTTTACCTTCATGGTATGATTTGGAGTAAATCCCAACGTTCCAACAAGCAATCCTTAAACTCCTACGATGAGATCGAATATCTAGCCTTCCATCATTGGAACCAAGCGAGAGCTTTCCCTTCCAGACATAGCCCTGTGGATGTAAGCTTCTCCTCCTCTCTCGACCCATTCACCATGAAATACCTCTCCACCTTATGTGTATCCTCCCATTTGAATACCAGTATCTTCAACTTACTCACCCTAGCATTACATTGCCCCAATAGCTTCTTCCTCATCAAGTGTAGTAGTTGTTGTGATCCCTCCATATTTCCCCCGTATATTGAGGATGGGAATCCCACCTTTTCTTCCACCCGCCTCGCATGACCCAATCCACATGGCTCTACTTGTCCCCCTCCTCCGGCCGTTTGCTCCATTTCCCAAAAGACCTTCCATAGTGGTTGACCACTCCACCACGACAGTCCCCCCCTCCCCTCCCCAAAATCTAAAAGCCCAATTCCGCCCCTTATCGAGCCTTACGTGGTGGATCTTGACCACCTCCTCCTCCGATGGCTCACTCCCATTGCCTAAAATGGCTCTCATAATGGTCGGCCACCCTACCACCTCCGCCAAAAACTTTCCTCCTTGCAGTCCCCTCATCCAAAAACCCTGAAATATCTCTTAATAGAGCCCTAGGAGGTGGTTCTTAATGAAAGAAACTCTCCTCATCAAACTCCTCCCGTCCAATCTCCTTTCCCTTCTATTTGACCAAGGAAATCCCAGTCAAATCTTTGTTAGGGTTAGCAAACGGAATCGTCGGCTAAAACGCAGAGTTTTTGATTGCTTCTCCAAGAGCTTCCTCATCATCTCCTCCAATCCTCCATATCGGTTTTCCATGGATGAAAACCTTCCCTCCATGGTTGAAAATCTTCCTTTGATTGTTGAGAACTTCTCATTCATCCCGGATTTGACTTGCTCCACTTCACATACCAATGCTTCCGTCATCTTTACTGCCATATCTCCCAAAACCTCGCTCTAATACCAATTTGATGCGCATTGGAAGTAAAAACAATAAGTAAACAATAAGAAAAATGTAGGAATCCAAAGATTAGGGCTGAAATTTGATTATCTCTTCAACAAATAATGCAAGATACAATTGATCTACTATTCGAGACGTAGATCGGCTCTCTCACAAACCTACAACAAGCACAAATTATCTCCTACCCTAATCCTAGACAAATCTCTCTCTTAAATAACCCTAGTACACAATAACACAAAAATAACCTTCATAAACAGCATAAATATAATTTAGGAAATATTCCTAAACAATTAAAACCTTCCAAAGCACATCAATCATAATTAGGAAACCTCCCTAAATAGCTCCCCTTGATTTCTCCTTTTTCCATAATGCATGACCGCTCTCTTGAACCCCACAAGGCTGGCCAAACACCCTTCCCTTGGCTCCCTTCTTGATTCTGCCTAGGCCCCCTCTTGCCATAACAGAGCGGTGCCAATTCCAAATAAGCTAAATTAAAATTTCTATCAACCTTGCCCTCACTTTGTGGTTGTCTTCTAGGTATCTATTTTTTGGATGTGGATATTGGTTTTGTAGATGGATTCGATGTACATGTTGGAGAAATATATCATTTGTTGTAATTGGTGATCAATCAACTCAATCCTTGGCAATAGGTAATTATTTTTTTTTATAATTCAATGCTTTATAATTGATGAACAACCTTCTACGACCTTTTTTTTTTGTTGAAACTAACACTAGTAGTGATCTGCTTATTCATATGCCCCCCTTCTCCATCATCAATTACTTGTCATCGTATCTCTAATTTTTTACAGTGAGTGCTAATAGATAATCCGATTTGGTAACTGTGCTACCTCAGTGAGAATTCATGTTCCATAACTTTTTTGCGACAGTTGCTTAAGGTGTAGAAATCTCTACGAGAGTTGATTAAGAAGGCTTCATTTGGGATGACTTTCTTACTGCTTCTTAAAGCAGTTTTCTAGTACAAAAACTATTTGTACTAGTAACTGCTTTAAGAAGCAGTAAGAGAGCCTTCCCAAACAAAGCTTAAGTTGCTTCTTCTAGGTAGAGTTCATTGAAAATGAAATAAATGCAGTCTTTTTCTATCATGCATTCCTACGTCTACTACGGGTGCGTTTGGGACGACTGCAGTTTTCTGTAAAGTAGGTTGCAAAATTGTTGTACAGAAAGCTGCTTTCAAAAATTGTTGTATAAAAAGCATTATATTCTGTTTGGGAAGTATAACTGTTAAGTTGTTGTGCTGCAGCTTTATGCAAATAAATTACCTTTATACCCTTATATATTGAGATGAAAAAAAAATGTAAATGTCAAAATTTTCAATGAAAATTCGCTTGTTGTGGAAAAGCCATAAATCAGTTAAATTTTTCCGTCATCGGCGTCCAGAAATATATGCCTCGACAACCACCGCGACTGCAACACCGGATAATTAGACTCTGAAGCGAAACAAGTCTAGATCCGTTTCTCCCTCACCGCCGGAAAGATGAGGAGAAAATCGTTGCCGGATTCCTCCTTAGCTCCTCCACCTTCCCGCGGCGGTGCCGTCGGGGAGTCTGAGAAGCAGGATCTTCTTCTTCTGTCGACGGCGATCGCCAACAGCGACGACCTTGCCCCTTTCGTCCGCAAAAAAGCCTTTGCCTCTGGCTGCAACTGTTTCTGCTGTCCAAATTTCAGCTTGGACTGTTTTTGTATTTGTTTTCGCTGTCTAGATTACTGTGGAGATAGCTGAAGTTGCATTTGTTATTGGGGCTGTTGTAGATGTTGTGGCTGATGTTGTTTTGTTGCTATCACGGCGTATTCCAATGCTTGCATGCCTCTGATGGCCTATTGTAAGCCATCAATGTGATCATTGGGTTTGGTTCCTACTGGTTTATTTTTTGCAGTACCTCTGCAATAACAATCGTCGCCCGCTTCTTTTTTCCCATCTTTGGGTCTCATCTCTGGTTGATGTTACCAACAACTGGTATTTGCTATCGCCTTGGGATTGGCAATGCTAGAAGAAATGGGTAGTATTATCTTTTAGGTTTCATTATTTTTTTTGTTTCCTGGATAGTTTTTATTTCTTGCTACTAGGCCAGTCATCGTATCACTTACCTCAAGCAAATAACAAAGGAATAAAATATTTAAGAGAACAAATAAACAGGGAAACAAATCCTAAATCCTATTATGAAAAACAAATAACGAATCTCCTTAATTAAATGATTTTTTTTCCTTAATTAAATGATTGTAAATCGTACAAGTTGAAAAACAAATTTTGCTTGGGAGGCTTGACCGAGATCCTGCCATGTTTGCATAACTGTTTGAAATACTTCTTCCGTCTAGAAGATGGCTATTTGACATAGTTTTCTTTGCATTATATTACTTTGCATTTGTTGATACCTTAGCTGGGTAATTCAGAAGGCAATGCTAATCCTCTCTTTGCACTTTTAGGGGCTAATTCATGAGGAGTTCACCAGAATACTGAATGCTTTATCTGGTGCGAAGGTCACTAAACCAGGAAGCTTCCGAAGCTGTCAAGATGGCTACGCAGTGAAATCATCCCTTAAAGCTGAAGATGGATTGCTATATCCGCTTGAAAAGGGATTTTTCTTTTTGCCTAAACCTCCAACTCTCATTTTACATGATGAGGTATCGGCTACATGCGGGCTCCTGCGGTGCTACATTACCTTAAAATTGAATTTTAGTTGAGTTGACTGGTATGTTTCTCCTGCCAACCTATGCAGATCGAGTACGTTGAATTCGAACGGCATGGCGCTGGGGGCTCAAGTGTTTCTTCACACTACTTTGATCTGCTTATTAAGCTAAAGAATGACAATGAACATTTATTTGGAAATATCCAAAGAAATGAATATCACAACCTTTTTGACTTTATTAGGTTAATCAAATTATTCTTTAAACACAGCATTTTAATGTGTATAGTCTTTCCTAATACATGCAGTTTTTCACTTAATACAGTGGAAAAGGATTGAAGATCTTGAACCTTGGTGATGGACGGGTTACCAATGGTGTTGCTGCTGTTCTTCATAATGATGATGATGATGCTGTTGATCCACATCTTGAGCGGATTAAAAATGCTGCTGGTGGCGTGGAAACTGATGATGAGGTGTGTGTTCAATAATCTCTAGTAGTTATGAAAGTTGCTTATGGCTTCGGTTGGGACTACTTTCTCGCTGCTTCTTGAAGCAGTTTTCTAGTTGAAAAAATTTAATTTTTTACTAGAAAGCTGCTTTAAGAAGCATCAAGAAAGCCGTCCCAAATGAAGCCTATGTTTACTATGTGCGATGACGCATCCATTTATAGTTATTTCTTTCTTAAAGTGGTTTTGGAATTCATTTCTGATTATCTGCATGCTTTCAGGATGAAGATTTTATTGCTGAGAAAGATGATAGTGGATCTCCAACTGATACTTCTGAAGAGGAGGAATCTGATGCTATTGAAAGTGGGGCTGAGAAAGAAGTAAATCAGAACATTTTTATTAATACTATGTTTCATTTTAATTTAATTTTGTAGATCTACTTATGTTGAAAATGTTGTTTCTTACAATCCACTACTCAGAAACCTTCTAAGAAAGATTCTAAAAAGGAAGTTGTGAGTAAAGCGTCATCCTTAAAGAGGAAGTCTAAAGATGGAGATGATGATTCAAAGAAGAGAAAGCAGAAGAAGAAGAAAGATCCACGAGCACCAAAAAGGGCAATGTCTGGCTTTATGTTCTTTTCAAATGCTGAAAGAGAGGTCAGTTACGAATGCGTTGCATTGGCATTTAAAATCGAGCATATTATATTTGTTGGATATGTTTGTTGCAGAATCTCAAGAAAGCAAATCCTGGAATGTCATTTACTGATATTGGAAGAGCTTTTGGGGAGAGATGGAAGAAGATGTCAGGTGATTGATTGAAAAGATTGTACTTTTTTGGAAGTCCAGATGAATTTCTTCAGCCTTTGTGATCAAATTTCATTTTTTATCTGTGGCAGCGGAGGAGAAAGAGCCTTATGAAGCAATGGCCAGGGCTGATGCAAAGCGTTACAAGGAAGCCATGGCTGGATACAAGAGCGGTGGACCTGCAATTAATGTGGATTCTGGCAATGAAAGTGGCAGTGACTAATTTTTCTTCTTTTATAACTTCTTTGATCACTGAAGTCACTACAGGATGAGCTGACACCATGAACGTTTGTAAACTGGGTAGGTTTTTAATTTGGTGAAGAAGTACAGTATGTTGAAATAACTGCTCTTAAGAGTTTTTACTTCTTGCCAAATAGCCTTCTCTCTTAAGAATTTTGGTGATTTTGATCGCCTAATTGTTACTGACTGTAACTCGTAGAGTAATCAATTTGGCAAGTATATCTCTCTTGGAAGAGAGAAAGATAGATCCTTCAGTTCTTGCATTGTTGCCTTTTTGACAAGTTTTCGTTAATTTAATCGCCCGAATAGGATGCTGTTGTGTTTTATTTGAAAAAATAAAGCTGATAAATTTTCTTACATGGATAATTTTGGGGGAAAAAAATGGAATCTTCGATTTTTTGTTGGAATTTTGAAGGTATCTGTTGACTTAACAATTCACATTAATTTTAATATATATAATCGAATTATAAAATGTAAAAAAATCATCTGTTTTCAAAACGTGTTTTCTAACTCTAGTAAGCATGCAAATGGTCCTTTATTTCAAATTAGTTTTATAAGTAACAAAAATATATAATTATAAAAGTTCAATTCAATGTGATCACTATATTGTGGCAAATCACATTTCGTTGGGGGCATGGCAGAGGTGAAGCTTGATTCATTCATCTATTAATTATATTAATTATAGATTCATCTCTTGCAATAACAAATTCTCCTCATAATTAGTATCTATTAGAGTAAAAATCTCCATTTTGTACTCTTGCTACATATTTGAGCACAAGGCCAATAACAATAGGAAACTAAGTAGGTCATCCTTTGAATGCTCCATTTTGTGTACACTTAGATATAGAGTTATCAAAGCTAATTCATCAGTTACACTAAGGTTGCATTTGAGATGATTTTCTTACTGCTTCTTAAACAAACTTTATAGTATAAAAATTAAATTTTTTGTATTAAAGAGTAGCTTTAAAAAGCTATAAGAAAACCGTCCCAAACAAAGTCTAAAATGTACCTCAAATATTCGATCTCAAATCAAGGAAGTGATTCTTGATTCATTAAAGTACTTAGAAATTCGTTCTCAAATCATTACAAATTTTTTATCATATAGATCAATGTCAATCACAACAAATGCTGGATTTGGAAAGATTTTAGAATTCAAAATCAAACAAATATTTGAATAAGGCTTCATTGGGATGATTTTTTGTTACTTCTTAAAATAATTTTTAATACAAAAATTAAAAGCAACAAAAAAGTCGTCCCAAACGAAGCCGACAGCTTTTTTATTGCTTTCTAAAATAGTTTTTTAGTAAAAAAAATTAATTCAAGAAATTTTTGTATTAAAAAGTTGTTTTAAAAAATAACAAAAGAGTTATCCCAAAGGAAGCCTAAGTCATGTGAAATCAGTTTAAAATTACTTTTGAATGAAGCAGCTGCATAGAATTTGTTTGGGATAATTGTTAACTATTTTAAGAAAAAAAATTAGACTAAAAAATTCTGCTGTAGAAAACAGTAAGGACATTATTCTTAATTAAGTTTTAATATAATTTTAATTAGCTTTAATTAATTTTAATTATTTTAGGCTGCATCTATTATTATTAATTAGTTTCAAAAATTTCTGTCATTTTCGTCCTATTTTGATCTAATTTCATTATGTTCACAAGTAATTGGAAAACATCGGCCTAAATTGATCCAAAAGTGCCGATAATACGTTACTTAGAGAGCTTGAAGCGAATTTAACCTTCACAGCGAGGGAGGGAGGGAGGGAGAGAGAGAGAGTTCCATCCTCCACTTTTGCTTCTTCAGTGAAGCATGCAGGACTCAGAGGAAATTCGAAATCTACCCATAGACATCGCCTTCGGTCGTCTTGGAGGTTGTCGATCAACCCTTTGGATTTGTTTCCTTTTGACTTAGTCGCTGTGTTTTCAGCTAAAAATTGCATTTTTAAGGAATTTTTTTTTTAGTGCTTGTTTGATTTTATAATGATGGTTTGATTTTTTTTTTTTTTATGCAACGGAAGAATGGTTAGTCGATCGCAAGAGGATCCCGGCTGATTGGAGAAAACGCATGAGCTCTATCAGGGCAAAGATTTCCTCGGCCTTCTCCTCCCTGCCCAAACACCTTGATCCTTTCTTCCTAACCCTAGACGCTGAAGGTAAAACCGCTATGTTTAAATTTAAATTTTATCGTCCTTTTCTATCTTTTGAAAGAAACCCTCGATTGTATTGCGACGTGATTACGTTTTGTATGCTTCAATGGAATTTTTTTGATCCTGTAAATTTGTCAGCACCACTGATGATGATGAATGTCACCTAAACGGGATTTCGTGAACATGAAAAAATGGCAATAATTGTAGAGAAGAATCTAAAAAAGATGGGGCTAGGCGAATTATTAGTAGAAAGGAGAAAGAAAGGCTGGAACTAGATGAAAAATTGTTTCCTCAAACTTTAGAAGCAAGAAAAGTGCAAGTCTCTATCCTTGCTTTATTACTGTCCTTTGTTTCTTGTAAAAGAAATCATCCACCTTTCTAGTTAATTCTTTGGTCTTGGAGATAGTTTCATGCAGGGGCGGATCTAGAAAATTCCATCCATTGGGACACCATAAACAAAATTAACATAATTATCATAAATCTAATCCTCATGAAATTCTTATAATACATATTTTATTCAAGTTATAAAGCATTCAATCTCATGATTTTTTGTATCAATCAATGCAATATAAATGTCTAATTTTAGTATATATAATTTAATTAAAAATGTGTAGAAAAGTAGAAATATGAAAAACACATGCGCATTACAAATTCTTTTGAAGCAAATTGGTTGAGCTTTTGTAATTAGCCAATTGTATGCTTGTCTCATGTCTTTACAGCCATTGGCTACTTGGAAACAAAACAAATATACAGTACTCTGCTGAATACAACCTCAGAAAGCCGTAATTTTTTTGGGCGGTTATCAGGTTCTGCTGTAAGGTCTTTATGCCTGTATTTTTCTGTTTTCTGTAGATTTTTCTATTAGATTTTTAGTTTGCAAGGCAATTATTCTTTTGGCAGGGTGAGTGGGAGAACATTGTGAGAGCTTATGAGAAGGATTATGTGTTTCTTGGAGAGGCTGCTCAGATGATCGTCCAGAATGGCAACTATGAAATGTATGCTACTTGTTCTTTTAAATGCAGAAAAAAAAAATTGAAATACATTGTGGTATTTTAACCAAATTAACTGATTTCATATTGAATGAAGTCCTTTTCAGAAAAAGCAGGTTCATAAGATTCAACAACAACTAGCAGAATTAGATCGCAAAGAAGTTGAAATCAAACGAAATTCTTCTCTTTCTGCTGCGAAGTATTCTGAATATTGTCAGGAGCTTGGGCTGCAGGTTAGTTTATTGGATATTGCGTAATCAGTCACGCATCACTCTATCTTAACCGTTGAGCACATTTCATTAATTTTACAAGACATTGGATGAGCAATATATGATGCTGTAAGTTTTAATTGATCGCTGGCCTTTGGAAATAGGGGAAAAATGTGAGGCTGGAGCTTTTAGAGGCAGCTAAATCTCTTCCTGCTACGTTCAGCAGAATATTGGAAGTTCTTAATGGTGATTCTGTTTTAAAAGCCATTGAGTATTACTCAAACTTTTGCAGAGATGCTCATACAGAGAATGAGGTTCCTTTTGACAACTTTCCAAAATATTATTTCTTTATTGTTTTCATTATTTACGACTTGAGCAACTTTAAGTGATGCGCCTACTCTCTTGTTCGTAGTTTTTAAATGCAGGTAAGACTTGTACTATTTGCATTTAAAATTGCTTTTATATTAAGTGCAGAAGAGTGCAGTTGTTGTACTCCAAGTTTTGAGGAATCTTCATCAAAATCCCCCGTCGCTCAATATCTCAATGTCCCTTGAAGTCCAAAATTCTCTGCACGCTCAGTCAAACTTGTGTTCTACACATCCTATGGCAGTAGAAGGATCACCTGATATTGATGTTGCTACTGGTGATATTGATTGGGACATCTCTCTGGTTGATACCCAAATTGATTGGGACATTGAACGAAATGAATTAACAGGGGATGGATCTGGTTTATGTGAGATAATTGATCCTCATAAGGAGTTACAGGTATCTGAAACTGGCGATGGTGTTGTATCTGATAATAATACACCACTAAATGTGTTGGAAGCTGGAATTGTTTCTGGAGCTGCGGAGACAGAGATATGCTGGGATATTTGCATTGAAAATCCTCAGATGGACGCAGCTGAACATTTTACTCCACCAAGTTCAAGCCAAGAAGTTCAACAAATTGATCCAGTAGCGCCTTGTGTACCTCAATCTTTAGAAGAAGAGAGAAGCCAACTTTTAGATACAGAATATAGAAATAAAATTCTTGATGATCTATATGAGGTATTTTCATAACATTTTGTGTTTCAATCAAAATTTTTGTTGAATATCTCCACATCTTTTATTCTCTTCAATTATAGAAAAAGTTGCTAAAATTTTACATATTTACAAGTTTTTTTTTTCAGTTTTCTGTCCATATAATCTTAATTGACAAATTTGGGGTGTACTGCATATGTAAGCAAATAATATTTTGGATTATATAGAGTAGCAGATTGGTGCAAGCAACCAATGACTTGTAGACAGCTTCCTTTTTCTTTTGCTCTTTTTTGTTGAAGTTCTTAATTCAATGGTTTGGTATTTTTATTTTTAATGGCATGTCCTACAAAAATTAAGACTCCTTCAATTAATCACTAACCTTATGCTTTATTGAAAGAGATTATTAAAGAAAATTTATGTATAATATCCGCTGTGGCTATGGATGATTGTGTTCCTTTTATTGCTTTACCCATCATAAGTGGATGCATTGTAAATTATTCCTGAGTTATTGATCATAATGTAGTTTTCTTTGCAGAAATAGCTGATTTAGCATATATGACATGTTGATTTCAAAATATTTTAAGTTAATTTTATGTTTTCATCCTTTACTAATTTGGATCGCATCTACCTGCTATATTTTATTTTAGAACTAAAGAACTTCACCCGGCACTGAATTTTTCATAGATTGTTTATCAAAGGTTTTCCCTATCCCTGCGTTTGTTTTCCCTTTGCTGGTTGTGCTCATATGAGTTCTGTTAACACTCTTTATTTGTTGAAAGTTAGATGGTGTTTGTGGAGAACTGTAGTAAGGTTGCCTATTGTTTTTTTTTTTAATCTGTACATAAGCAATCCCCTACTTTGTCACACTTCGTAGATATTTCTTTTTATAGAAGTTATATGTCAGGACAAACTGATAAGTGAGTGCTCATGAAGAAATAGTTAGACCTTTTAGATTTCCTGGTGTAAGAAAAAAAGAGTTATATTTTTGTACCCTTTTGCAATCTATTGTCCATTGATGTATGAACGGACCTAGAAACCTGGCCTATGAAATAAAATTTAGTTATAGTTGTTTTGTTTATTGGATAAAGCCCATAATAGTCTACTAATTATTCATATGTCACCAACTTGTAAGAGTGACACATTTATGCAATTTAGTCATCGACTGTATAAATTGATCCCAAATGGTCTCTTAGGGATTAATTTTGCATCTCAATTTTTATAGGAGAGATCATTTGAGATCAATTTTGTATAATCAATAGACTAAGTTAGAGAAATGTGATACTCTGAATTTTGAAATTAAATTAATCACATACGAAGTTGGCAATTTCATTGATCTTTGGTGACTTTTGGATCATTGTTTGATCTTCCAAATTCATATTCACAGCTAAAATCATTTCTAAATCAACGGTTGGTGGAAATGAGAAGTGATGAGACATCCTCATTGCAACATCAAGTTCAGGCAGTTGCTCCTAATATGCTACAACAATATGCTCCAGATGCAGTTGAGGCTCTGCTATCGGAGGTATCTTTGGCCATTTCTTTGCTCACAAACAGGAAGACTCGTGACATGATTATGATTCTTAATTCAAAAAGGTTATATTTGATGCTCTTGCAAAACAGCATTCTCATTGTCCAACAGCTTCTTTCATGATAATTTGTACCGCTAACTGTGCATTATTTTTCAAATCATATTAATCCTCTTCATATTGAAAATTTTAGATTTCTAGATAGATTGGTGTCAACACTTGAGGAAAAGAAAAATCATGAAGTGAAGCTCAGGGAGAGTTTGAAAGATTTGGCTGTGAGACGGAGAGAGTTGCAAAATACTCTAGCATCATCATGGCCTAAGCAGGTGTGTAACAATCCTACTTTTCTTTAGTATTCTTTGACAAGTCCAACTTAAAATAATCATTATTTAAATGTTGCAGAATGAGGATGTTTAGGTGGATAAGTGGCTTTACCCTTAGAGATAGGATACGGAATGAGCATATACGTGAAAAGGTTGGAGTAGCTCCAGTGGAAGATAATATTAGAGAGAGTCACTTTAGATGGTTTGGTCACATTAAACGGAGGCCTTCCGATGACCCGGTTAGGAAAGTTGAGGTATTAGATTTGACTTATGTTAAGAAAGGTAGAGGTAGACCTAAAAAGACTAGGTTATAAAATATTAGAAATGATCTTTCTTTATTAGATTTAAATGAGAATTTGACTTTTAACATGACACAATGACGAAAAAGGATTAATGTAGCCGACCTCACGGAGTGGGACAAAGGCTTGATGTTGTTGTTGTTGTACATTTCATCTACAGCCCCTTGGAAAACTCTGTTTTGCCAACCGTTTTGTTTCTTTGACCTTGGTTTTCTTGCACCTGCCTACTTGATAGCCTTAAAGAGCCTAACGATGGTGAATCCAGGCCAGTCTTATTGCAATATAAAAAGTTTAGGAAAAAACATGCAGTGCTCTAAAGCAGATATATAAGGAAAATCAATCAATTTATATAAGCATGAAAGAATATTTAATGTCCCGGTTCAGTTTGGTTCAGTTTGGGAGTTCATGAAATGTCTTGCCTCCTCACATGTGCTGTTTATTTCCTCACTGATGCAGCGAAAATTCAACACCTGCAAACTCTCTTTCACCTTCTCCACAAATTGTTACCATTTGGTATAGTGATTATAAGGGGCAAGATATACAAGCATGGAGCTGTGGTCCTACTCATTATGATTTCGTTTGGAACAATTTTCTTTCTGTTTTTTAAAGAGACTTTTTAGTACAAAAATTTTTATATCAGAAATCTGCTTTAGAAAACAGTAAGAAAGCTCTCCCAAACAAAGCCTATATCATCAATTAAGCAGTAGTAGGAATAATGAGTGCAGATGTTGAATTATTGTGCAGAGTTAAACCATTGTACCAATCAGCTATTAATTTCGTCCAAAGCATATGAAAGCCATACATGAATGGGCCAAGTATGGGAAGACCATCTTAATGGTTTGGATAAGACTTGGAAAGAGGACGATGCTTTAGATTTTTAGTTCTAAGAGTAATTTTCATCGTTATTAGCCTTATCCCCCAACCCTTTCTACTGAGAGCCCTAAATTGCAGAAGATAGTGATGATGATAGGAAATACTTGAGTTTGCAAGTAATCCTAATGGGAAATACTTGAGTTCGCAAACAAACCTAACAATAATTGATAAAAACAGCGAGAAAAACTCAATAATTTCGGTGAAAACAATCCAAAACAGTAGATTATATTATAATAATCAAATCAAAGCAAGCACAAAGCAAAGATACAATTGATCCTCAATTCGAGAGGAGGATCGTTCTCTTCCAATTTTTAGACGAAAAGTCTAGAGCCCAAGACACAAAAAAGAATTGCAAGAGAAACAATAATCAAGCATGCCCTAACCCTCACAACTCTTATTTAATACAATAATTCCCCCAAATCAATTCCTAATTCAAATTTCCCTCCCAAGGATAGCCACCCCCTAGCCGCCGCCCTCTTGCTTTAATTGTCCCCTAGTGGGTCCCCTTGTGATTGGCGGCTGGATTTGGAATAAAAGAGATGGCATTAGTCCGCCTCCTATAAACCTGAACCGGTCCTGTTCTGTTGCAATATAGAGTATAGCCATCGAGTTTATGGAATATTGCACATTACTGCTTGAGCTACTTAGTTCCTGTATATTCTAATCTGCTGACTTGTATGCTGATCTGAATTCCCGTTTGCAATACAGGAAACCACAATAGCTAAAACAAGGGAGCTCAAGAAGCTCTGCGAGTCAACGCTGTCCTCAGTATTTAACGGAAGGCCAGTGAATCTAATCGGAGAAATCAACAATGTGTTGACAAGTGGTGTTGGTGCATAAGGCAAATCTCTAAAGACACCAATTTGGTCAACTGAAGGTGCCCTTCTATCCATTTTTCACTACAAAAACTGATAAAATATTCTTTTTCACGTGAATTATCTACTTGTTCAGATAAGCCAACTGATTTATTTATTGGAAGCAATGAGTATATCTATCTCATCTTTTGTAGAAAAACCAAATCTGCTGTTGTAGAAACGCATTGCCTCTCAGTTATTATTTTTATTATTTTTAGAATAGCATTGATCAACGCCATTTTTATATTAAACTTATAAAATTTAGTGGATATGGTTGAAAATTTAGCCATTGATTGATGCTCTCGATGCTACAGTAATATTGATCAATATTGATTTCAAAGAAATTATGAAGAAGGGAAATTGTGCCTAAGCAGATTTTGTTGTACCACACTGTCATCGTTTGCTTTGCTTGGTTAACCAGTGGAACTAATTGGCTTTTTGGCTAAATGATTGAAGCCAAATTGGAGGTTGAAAAGTATTATATTTGTAAGAAAGTTCACTTAAATATTTGATGAAATAGATCACTAAAAATTCTTATGATATAAAAATAAATGATACTTTTTAAATTTAGGCTTTATTTGAGATAATTTTTATTGCTATTTTATAAAGCAATTTTTTTGGTATAAATTTTTTTTAAGAATAATGAAAGATAGTGGTTAAAACCTATCCGAAAATAGAGAAATTATTCTGTGCGGAGTCTGAACGGGAAGAATCATCTGAACTGTGAGTGTATAATGATTTGATACATATTATGTTCAAAGGCTTTTGACGACTATTTTTTCATAAACATAGCTATAAATGCAACCCAAGCAATTTTTTCCTCGTTATAGGTATAATTATATCGTACTTCAACATCATAGAAAAATAATTCAAATGTGTCAATTTCAGAATAGATAGTTGGTGCAAAATAATAAACGCGAAGTCAAATAATATTCAAACAATATTTCAAAGTTGATTTAATCTAGCTCGAACTTTGCTTGAACCTTGATCCAATCTTAACCAGTCTTATTTTGTTTGAACAACACTCCAACATTGATCGAATCTTATTTAGACCTTGGTCAAAATATTTTTAAACTATGATCAAACCTTTTTCGATTATTATTCGAGCGTTGTTTGAAAATATGAACAAGATTTGAATAAGTTTCAAATAATATTCGATCATGATCCAAATATATTTTGATCAAAATAAGTTTTGTTTAATTTCGAAGCTAGTTATCAAATGCCCTTTAGTGTTTATGGTCTAAAGTGTGAATGAAGTTTTCAAATTTAGATTACCAAGTACATAATCTAATATCAAATGCCATTTAGTGTTGTCAACAACCTTTTACTAGATTCGTGCTCAAGCATCTATTCAAATTTTGGGGGAATTCTAGTCTGAAATAAGATTACGATTATATTTACGCCAAGGACATATTTATTCAATTTTAGGCATTATGGGACATATAAAGTCAAAATTCACTCTTCTTATGCACAACTTAAGATTTTTTTCCTTTTAACATGGAATCATCATTTAAATAAAAATGATTTAAAATTAGGAGAATCTAATTATATAGCACTCAAAATTATTTTTCAAGAAGAGGAACAAGCACCTCTTTTATTCTTTTCAATTTTTCAAGAGGACCCTAATCATTCTTTATGAAGAAAAATCTATTGAACCAATTTTTTAAGGGATCTCTCATTTGAAGGTCCAACCATTTGTTCATATAAGTGCGGCATCTTTAAGCATCACATGTAAATCTACTTATTCTTGTTAAATATTTTAGCATCAATGTCACACCATGATTTTTAAAGAAGGCAATCAATTCGATGACAATTGACATAACCTTGCACAAAAAATTGAGATAAGTTAACCTTGCATGTCGCTAAAATACTGATTAGTTTAGGACTAAACTGGCATGTAAACTCTTCTCATAAAATGTAAGATATCCCAGTGAAGAAGTACATACCAAATTGAATCTTTCGAGTGGTAAAACAACAAGATCGTTGAAAATAATAATAATAATATGGAAGATTATTAAAACATCACCAATAATAATAGACATCACATCATCAGCCCCTAACTCTGGGAAATTTTCTTGGATCATCATCTTGTATAAGAGTCAATCAAATTTCTATTGGCACTAAAATTTTGGGTGTAGATTGATCACTCATTGAGGATGCTAATTTACTCACAAGTTTGTCAATAGAAGAGTATCCGCTAGTAAATTGAAAAATTATGAGTAAAATTTTTTAATTAGCATCCTCAATGAGTGATCAATCTACACCCAAAAGTCTAAAGCAGTATCCGCTAGTAAATTGAAAAATTATGAGTAAAAATTTTTAATAATTTTTCTCTAGTCAACATAGTGGTTTCAAAAAAGTTAAAATTATAACTAAAAATATTTTACTTGGTTTAGGAACTTGAGTGGAGGTCCATATTAACCATCTAGGGAGTAATCATACCTCTTTTTTTTAAAAAAAATATAATTCTACTATGTAAAATTTTTTAAAGACTTAACGTATATTTTCATGCGTTACAAACTTTAATGTTCTAGAATAGTGGCAAATACCATTTCTCTAGACAATTCATTTAATCATCATGAATTTCAATGTGATATTTGAATTAAAACTTGCATAATTAAGTTTAAAATCATTTGAATTCAATTTTAATATGCACCTATTGAATTGAATGCCTCGAGGAGATGAACTCATCGACACCACATGTGATTCGATCCAACTCCAAATAAACTCAAATTAAGCACTTAAAATATACTTAAAAGTTTATAAATATTAATTGAAAGAACAATCAGTTTCCAAATATTGTATGCTTATGGTCAAATCGAGCTGCTCGATGAGATAAATCTAATGACCCCAAATCATTTGTTCAGTGAGCTTGTGCTTCAAATTCATCTTCATTGAAGTTTTATCAATGGAGTGTCAATTTTTTATAAATAAAATAATTTTGAGTGTTATGTATCTAAATCTCTCATAAAATTAAAGGGCATTTGTATATATATTATATGACTTTTTTTATCTAATATTTAAAAATTGATATTTATTTATATAACACAGAATTATAAATTACATAAAAATATTATCAGTATTTACTTTTCTAAAGTTAAAAAAAATATTTTCATAAATATATCTCGATATAACTGAGAAATTAAAATATTATGTAAGTAAATATAAAATTTAAATATTATATATAAATAATTAAATGTAGAAGAATTCGGTGATGTGTAAGTAAATAAATCCCTCTAAAAAAAACCGCATAGTTGGATTGAGTTTGTCCCAAGAAACCGGAATGTCCCATTTGGTTTCAGAGCTCCCTACAAATCTACAATGGCGGGAGGAGAAGAAGACGACGACTATATGGGCGACATCTCCCTCTTCATACCGCCCGAAGACTCCACTTTATCCAAAAAGGTATCTTGCCCAAGAACCCAAACATAACGCTAGATTTTCCGAACTCTTATCACCTCACACTCACCTCTTCCGCAGAAATTTACCTCGAAGGAAAACGAACATCCCTTGGCCCCAAAACTGAAAAGGCCAAAAACCCTATCTTGGCAGGAGCATCGGCAACTCGAAAAAGAGAGGAAGCAGCGCGAGGAGGACGAGCAGACCAAGGCTCGGCTCGATGCCGCGATCCCAGAATCTAACCTAGGGTTTCGAATGCTGCGACAGATGGGTTACAAGCCAGGTACCGCGCTGGGGAAAGAGGGTTGTGGAATGGCGGAGCCTGTTGGGCTTGAGATCCGGCGATCGAGGGCCGGGATTGGAAGGGAGACGCCAGTGGAAGCGGCGTTGAGGAAGGAGAGGGAAGCGGCAGAGAGATTGAGGGTTCAAGAGGAGGATATGGTAGCAGATTTTGGTTCACGGCAGAGAACTCGGTGGAAGGAGAAGAAGATTGTGGGTGATTATCGAAAGGCGGAGGTGGCGCTTGCTCAACTGGAGAACAGGGAGGTTTTGGAGGCTAAGAAGGAGGACGAGGAGGACGAGAATGACAAAGCTGAGGAAGAGGAGGAAGAGGAAGTGGTAATAACAGAAGAGGTATTTTTTTATTTGATATTTGCTTGGGTTAGATTCCTTTACTTTCTCGTTTTTTTATTTTCAAAGGAGTAATATTATGCTGCAAACCCGTATTACCTAAAAGAAAAAAAGAAGATAAATTGATATTATTATGATATGAGGTTATAAAATATGGGAAATTTGCCTATATATGCTTCATAATACATCGAATTGGTTTGAAATTTTCATTATTTTCTTCCTCTAGAAATATGTTTGAAAATTTCTTTCAAATGAACTTACCTTCCGTGAAGGATAACCTGTTGTATTTGTGTACTGATTATTGGGCTTGCAAGTCTTTCGAAATTGATATGAACTGTTATTCAAAACTTTGTTTGAATCTAATTTGAACTTGATATGAACCTAGTTTGAAGGTTTATTGAAACCAATGACGTGTGTGACAAGAAGGTTTAACTTCTTCGTGAGAGGGGCTGGTGAAGGGGAGGAGGGCTTGTGATGAGATTGACAACATGTGGGAAGGAGACAGTTTGCCATCGACGGGATCAATTCATGTCATGGTGAATGATACTTTGCATGAGCTCATTGGAGGAACGCATCAACCATACCGACAAGTGTGAAGGAGAAGAGTATTTCGAAGGCATGAACTGTATTAGCACGTGTGACGAAGAAGAGTACTATGTGAAAAAGGCATCAATGACATGATGCGTGTAAAGGAGAAGAAAGTTTGCTTGAGCTTGCTGGGGGTAGGCATCTATGACGTTGAAGTAGAGGAATGCATCGGGCTTGTTGTATGATAGAAAAGCCCCCCCCCCCCCTCAAACTTTAAGAGAAAATTCTAAAAGTTGGTGGTGAGACCTCCAATGCTTTATGGGGCAGGATGTTGGCCATTAAAAGAGAAGCATAATATTAAGTTAAGTGTTGCAGAGATGAGGATGCTTAGGTGGATGAGTGGCTTTACTCTTAGAGATAGGATACGAAATGAGCATATACGTAAAAAGGTTGGAGTAGCTCTACTGTAAGATAAGATTAGTAAGAGTTGCCTTAGATGGTTTGGTCACATAAAGCGATTGCCTTCTAATGAACTGGTTAGGAAAGTAGATATATTAGATTTGACTTATGTTAAAGAAAGGTAGAGGTGGACCTAAAAAGACTGGTTTAGAAAATATTAGAAATGACCTTTCTTTGTTATATTTAAATGGAGAAAATTGATTCATGTAGCCGACCCCACATAGTGGGATAAAGGCTTGATATTGTTGTTGTATTGATGATTGCACTCAGGTGATATATGAATATTTCATTGATGTCATCATTAATCTCCTTACTTTCACTTCCATGATAAAAAATTATTTCATATGGGCTTAAACAGTTGGAATTTCTCCCCTTAAATATAAGTTTGATTAAAAAAATTTTTTTTCATCAAAAGTGACATTGTTTGAGGGAAGAAATCTTTTTATGGTAGGATGGTAATGCTTGTAACCTTTTTGAGTGAGGCATTACCCAATACAAATTTGAGGGCTATAGGATTAAATTTATCTGCCTATTTATGGATATAGATATAGATAATACTCTCAAATATTTTTGGTGGAATTTTTAAAAGGAAGTTATTTGTGAAATTTTTTTACATATAGTTTAAAAAGTTTTGAAACCAGTAACTCTTGAAGGTATTCTATTGGTCAAATAGTAGCTAGGATCATGCCTTCTTCATAAAACACTCTATAGATGGTAAGATCTTAATTCTTATTATATATGCTAACAATATAATTGTTGTAAGTTATGACAAAAAAAAAAAAGAGTCATTTAGAAGAAGACATGCTAAAGAATTTGAGTTCAAGGTATAAGACAAACTCAAATATTTCTTAAGTAGAGAAGTAGCTCACTAATAACAAGGAATATTTCTCTATTAACAAGATATGTCATGCACTTACTAAAACAAACAAAAATGATTGATTGCAAATCTTGTAAAACCCAATTGAACTAGATTTAAAATTGAACGTAGATAAAGGAGGAGAGGAAGAACACATGGGACAATATCAAATATTAGTTGGGAAATTAATCTATCTCACACTTATCCAAATATTATTTTTGTAGTAAGTTTTATCATCCAATTCATGCACAGACCCATAGAGTCTCATCTTCAAATTACTTATAGTCTTGAAATTCCTTAAATTAAGTCATGGAAAAGGAATTCTCTACCAAAAGCAAGATACTATGTACATTCAAGGTTATATTGATGTAGATTATGTAGGATCACCAGTGGTAGAAGATCTATTTTATGATATTGTACTTTATTGAAAGAAAATATTATAATACGGTGAAGAAAGATACAAGTTGTTTCAAGATTTAGCATTAAGTCTAAATTTAGAGCAATTGTCCAAGGAATTTGTGAATTTCTGTGGATCAAAGCATTTAGAAATATTTAAAAATCAAGTGGGAAAAGCTAATGAAGATTTTATGTGACACTAAATTTGTCATACACCTTGCTTACATGATCGTAACAACCAAATAGAGGTTGATACATATTTCATAAAAGAGGAATTGGAGTGTGGGTCGATTTGCATTCCATATTTACTAACAAGAAATCAACTTTCTAATATATTCACCAAATGACTTTGCATCCTCTTGCTTAGGGCTGCAAACGAACCGAACCGAGCCGAGTATGTGAGTTTTCATGTTTGAGTTCATTTATTATTAGCTTGTTCAAGTTTGGTTCGTGTTTGATTTGATCTTTATTGTTTGTGTTCATGTTTGTTTCGTTTAAATTAATGGTGTTCATGTTTGTTCATGTTCAGTTCATGTTCGGTTCGTTTAGAGCTTATCGAGCTTTAAACAAACAAGCCTTAATGAGCTATGTTTGTGAACATATTCAGTGAATTTTTTTACACTATCAAACAAGCACGTTAATGAACAAATCTAATAAATATTCTTGAGCTATCAAATGAGGAAGATCATAAATATATACATAACTAGTACTTTCGAGCTACCAAATGAGCTCGTTCATGAACAAACGATCTACAATTTATCTTAAATTTGTTCATGAACATCTTACACAAACAATCTAGCAAATATTGGCAAATGTGAAATGTCTCTTGTTCATGAACAAATTCATTCTATTGAAGGTATAAAATAAAATGAAATAAAATTTATAATAAAAGCAGTTGTCTATTTAAAATGAAAATATGATTAATCTATATGAATATATTTATCAAGCTTATTCACGAGTTCTAAATCGAACACGAATTGAGCTTAATGTTGAGCTTGTTCATGAGCTTCAAATGATGTTGTTCGTGAACATAAATGAATCAAGCACATTAGTGTTCAAGCTTGTTTATTTAAGGATCTAGTATTAAAAATGTTGTTCAAGTTTGTTTGTTTAGTTAGTTAAATGATCACAAACGAGCTTTAATCAAACCGAGCTATGAGTAGCTCGTTGAACGTTATCTTGCTCAAAAATATTATAAGTAAATTTGAAATAGCAGAATTATACCATCCAGTTTAGGGAGAATATTAAAGAATCAAAGACAATAGGATCCCACATGGAGGGACCCACTCCTTTGCCTCCCTGCATTCACCCACCCTAAGTTTCTGCCTTAATTAGAAAAATTGTGGGTCCCACTATGCATCCAATCATAGTTTATTGATTGCATGGATTGAGGATCTTAGTCATTTGATCTTCTCCTTCTTACCCTAAAATTGCAATCCATGTGCTCCTCTACCTTTACTTAGCCTTTTTTGGATTATTTATTTATTTTGTGTAAATAACATTTAACTATTTACATATGTAATATCCTTGGTTGATTCTATAAATGCCTCTAATATGTGCACAAAAAAGTTCAAAGTAGTTTTTCATATATTTTTATTTTTTGTACAAAATTTTCATTTATATGCATTTTTCCCCATGCGTTTTATGATTCAAACTAGCCATTCCTTTCTCACATTTAATTTCTTTAAGGTTCCTAGATGAAATATTTTTTTGATTTAGGCATATCATAATCTTTTCACTTGGCTTAAACTTTATATTTCTCGTTATCAGCAATTGATTTATATAATTAACTATCAATTTTTTGATAAAGTTTTCATGAAAATCATGCTGTTGAATATGTGACAACTTATAAAAATCATGAAATATTAATGTGTCATATAGAATTTTAATAAAACCTACAACTATTTTTAAAGAAAAAAGATGCTGAAAAATTGAAAGTAGATAAATCACACAAATACAGGTTAACTGTAATAAGGTGTGATTCAACCATCCTCAATACTAGTAGATAAATCACACAAATACATCCTCAAAACAGCATTGATAGGCTATAATTTCTTTAATAAGGTGTGATTCAACCATACATGTTTTTTATATTGGTGTATTTATACTAAGCTTTAGAGATGTGATATTGATTTTCTTTACGGACATTAATCACAAATGCGGTAGTCCTAAAATAATTATCATAATATTCCTTAATATTTATAATTATATATAAAATTTCATATAGGATTTTTGCTGCATCATAGTATAATTCATCTTTGATTCAATTATTTGGGAATTGGACATAATAGTTTTCAAAGAAAAAAAAAACAATCCAATTATAAAATTCTTTAAGATCATTTCGTCTATTAAATATAAAATCATACTTCAAAATTAGATATTAGTCATGTTATAGTTGTCTAGATTTATAAGCTACCTAATTCATTTAAATTACATCATTTATTATTTCTTTGATTGATCTAGTTATAATATCTTACTTCTAGTTGGCATGATGATGCAACCAGAAGCTCTAATACCTCTTTGATGCAGGACCTCTTAAGAGTCTAGGGCTTCTAATGCAACTTAGTGATTCTATGTTTGAAATTGCACAAATAAGATTTAGGAATTCATAGTTTCAAAGACAACTAACTAAATAAGAATTTATCTATTTTTTTATAAATGAGAAGATGAGAAAATCATGCCACATTATAATTTAATGATCACTCGAATCAAATAAATTAAGAGAAAGATTGAAAGCCACCAAAGGCCACTAGCTAGACAAGTATACTAAGAAAAGAAACCTAGTTGTAATGAATTTGACTGAAATCAAGCTTTCTTGCAAAACTGATATCAAATCATATAGAAGAAAAAAAAATTAAGGTAAGTGATTATCAAATACAAAAAAAATATAGGCCTCACATTGGTAAAGAGATACGACTTCCCCTAAAAATTGGTATTTTCTATTTCATTGCACGTGGATGAATAAATATTTTGCCAAACACATGAGATTGAAAAAAACATGGAATTGTTTAGTAAGCCATATGTAAAATTCATCACATCTCTCAGATTACATTTATAAGCACCTCATTTACAATCAAGGTCTATAATTTTAGAGAATTAGTTGCTATTTAAAATTACTAGCTGTAATGGATAGGGCGCATGAAATTCAGTGTATGTCCTGACTCAGTCCAAGACCAAAAAGAAATTGATGACACTAAGCATAAGGATAAGTCCTAGTTTCGTATAATATTGCTAGCTACTATAATAACCAACTTGAAATGTCACAGTTTGCTGTAAGAATCCCTTTAACACATGAGCTTCAGGATCTACCAACCACAAGAATAGCCATAGATATTGAAACTATATTCAGAGAGAGATGGAATTATGATTTCAAGTGAGAGAAAGTGAAATAGTTTATGTAAAATTTGGGGAGGGTCTTCTATAATAGACATGATTGTAAGAAAATTTAAGGGTAAAATTTTCATATTATATATAACTATATGAAGATTTTGTTAAATCGAAGGGGACGAGAGCCACCCCTTGCTCCCTTGATTTCGCCACTAACTATTTGAACCACTGCTATAGAAACTATTGCTACAAGAATAAATCCAAAATAAATAAGCTAACAACTCCAAAATAGAGAAGGCAATTGCTTGTAATAAATCAACAGCAGCAGCTCAAACCAATCATTTAAGCCTGTCCAAATGAGAGATGAACCAGACAACAACAACAACAACAACATCAAGCCTTTATCCCACTACGTGGGGTCGGCTACATGAATCCTTTTTCTCCATTGTGTCCTATTAAAAGTCAAATTCTCGTTTAAATCTAATAAAGAAAGGTCATTCCTAATATTTTCTAACCAAGTCTTTTTAGGTCTACCCCTACCTTTCTTAACACAAGTCAAATCTAATACCTCTACTCTCCTAACCGGGTCATCGGAAGGCCGCCTTTTTATGTGACCAAACCATCTAAGGCGACTCTCTCTAATCTTATCTTCTACTGGAGCTACTCCAACCTTTTCACGTATATGCTCATTTCGTATCCTATCTCTAAGGGTAAAGCCACTCATCCATCTAAGCATCCTCATCTCTGCCACACTTAACTTAGTATTATGCTTCTCTTTTAATGGCCAACATTCGGCACCATAAAGCATTGCAGGCCTCACTACCATCTTATAGAATTTTCCCTTAAGTTTGAGGGGTACATTTCTATCACATAACAAGCCCGATGCATTCCGCCACTTCAACCATCCAACTTGAATTCTGCTGATAATATCCCCATCTATTTCACCATCACTCTGAACAATAGATCCAAGATATCTAAAACGTGTACTCTTATTAATGACTTGATCGCCCAAAGTCACAATCCCCTCACTAGGACTATTACTACTAAAATTATACTCCATATATTCCGTTTTAGATCTACTCAAGCGAAAACCTTTAGACTCTAAGGTTGACCTCCATAATTCAAGTTTACCTTCAACTCCCTCTCTAGTCTTATCAACAAGAAGAATATCATCAGCAAAAAGCATACACAAAGGTACATACTCTTGCAAATGTCTAGTGAGAACATCCAAGACTAAAGCAAAAAGATATGGGCTTAAGGCTGATCCTTGATGTAACCCAACCGAAATAGGAAAATACTTGGTCAAACCACCTTGTGTTTGAACACAAGTAATAGCTCCTACATACATATCTTTAATGATTTGAATATAAGCATTATTAACTCCTTTCTTTTCAAGAACTCTCCATAACACTTCTCTTGGAACTTTATCATATGCTTTTTCTAAATCAATAAATATCATATGTAGATCCTCCTTATTTCCTCTATATTTTTCCATCAAACCTCTGAATAAATGTATGGCTTCCATAGTCGACCTACCCGGCATAAATCCAAATTGATTTTGAGAAACATTAGTATCACACCACAACCTA